TGCCATCTTGGTTTTTAAACATGTAGTGCTTTATAGGCATAGGAAAAAACCTCTGAAAATTAATTACTAGTTTTAAAATAGATTTAATTCCTTCAAAACTTCACTTTCCTTTAAATTTAAGATGACAGTTTTCTGGGAATCAAACAGTTGAATGGCACTGGATGAAATCAATGACAACCATTAAATAATATTACATCAAATATGCAAGAACCAGTATTCAGTGATGAATAATTATATTTTTGAATGACCAGAGTCAATTGAAAATTTAAGAAGTCAAATTTGTCAAATAGTCATGTAAAGAGCCATAACACTTAAGAGTACCAGAAGTGCAAATATATGACATTTTCATGTGAAAAACTGTTTAAGAACTACAAATTAAACCACATGCAGATTTTTAAAACTCCCAAATAAAAAAAACATTTTTTTAAAAAAAATCTGTTTTATTATTTATCTAAGTTATATAATTGCCCATTTCACCAAAAGCAACTCTGAGAAGCATACAACAGAACTAAGGACAATGAATAAATATGTAAAACCATTATCATATTTAATTATAAAAACATTAAAAACTATATAAATAAGCAAAACAAATGAAATAACAAATGAGGAGATGCTCCTGGGGTCCCTCTTATGTTTGCTGGCATACCAGGTCTTAAGGGACACCTCACCTGAAGCCAGCCTTCCACAATGAGGACACTGCCTACACCTGGCCAAATGTAGCTTCCTACCCAAAGGAGCCCATAGTATAGATAAACTGATGTTAAATTAGGTAAGCTTAACATAATAAATAAGCAACAGATTTATGGAATAAGTTGAAAGCCAACATTCTTGATAACGTTTGCTGTATATAAAAATATAAATGTTTTGTGAAATATTTCTTCAAGACTTCTTCTTATCATACAGGTTAGAAGTGATATTTAAATTTACAGTCAGACTTTTTTAGAGATAGATTTAAAATATATTTATTTTCAAGCTTTGCATTTCAAACCCCAGTAACCCATTTTTAATTCAGAATCATTGTTATGTTTACATACACAGTTATTACTTTTCTACTTATTTGAGCAGTAAATGTAGGCAAATTAACATCAGATTTCGATACGTACTCTTAGAAGTTTGGACAAATATTTCATTGTAAAATATTACAGTAAAAGATACTGTTCAAGGAATATTTTCTATGCCACCATATTTTTTATTCCGTGCACTTTATTTCTTTATTTATTTAGCCATACTCTAAATAAATAAAGTACAAGGAATAAATATAAAATTCATATTTCTAGAGTTTAGGTGAACATTTTTCAGTCAAAAATATGCTATATTACCCTAAAATATGTTTTTAATTATTGGAAGCTTTGAATTTTGCATAAAATTATAGTGACATAGGTATAAAATTATAGGCACAGTTTTCTTCAACTTTTCAGTTAGATAGGTCTAAGTCTTCTATGCTCCCAAATTCATTCTTAGATTTCTAAAGGTATGCTGATAACTCTCTCATGAGTAGACAGAGGCAAACTATAATGAAATTGTATGGATGTGCATGTTAATTCTATAAATAGAAGGAGTCTGTTCTCTAGCCATTATTCATTTATCTTTCTAAGATTTTAAAATTAAGGCATAATATCAAAATTTATTATTAACAGGAGAAAACAGGCCAAGCTACTGAAAAAAAATTCCAGGACATGAGCAGATGGATGATTAAAAAACAAATTAATTATTTTATTAAAGAAAAAGATGTATGGAAATATCTGATCAAACTTTCTTTCTGAACCAAAAGATTTAACCTAAGTTCTGATAAAATATATATATATCTCTCAAGTACCTTTTAAAATACATATAGTATTGAACCCCTTGATTTGACTGTGACAAATAGCATTTTACTGCGTGATTGGCCTGGCATGGAAAATAAAACGTTATTCTAATTTAATACACATTCAGAGAGCAATATTGTTTTAACATTAATAATTCTCATCTTATACATGCATGAATTTGTTTTAGCAACAAGATAGGAAGGGCTTAAATCTTTCATCCTGTTTTTAGAAATTGCTACATCATGTGATAGGCAAGTTGCTGAACTAGCTCTATAGAGAATCAAAAATACATACTATATTTAAAATTAAAATCTTGGAATGTAAGTGGCTCAATTTAATCATTTGTGAGGCTGATAAATACTTGATTATTCTTAGCTATATAAGTTAACGTGTGACACATAAATGCTTTATTTATGTATTCTCTGTTAAAATATTCATTTAATGTACCATACTAATAGCTAAAATTTTAATGGGATCAGAGGGGAGGAAGACAGGAAGCCATTAAAGAAATTCATCTGAAGTCCTGTTCCCTGGAATTTGACCACTATTAGTTGCAATTCTTCTTACACATTATGTATACACTTCTGAGCAATGAAGTCTAAAGACAAACAAATAGAGTTTGTGGACCTAATACTAGTTGTTTCTTATTATATTTGAAGCAGGAAATGGCCAAATTTCTTATAAGAAATTACAATACATGTAAGTGATATAATGCACCTGTTATTCAAACTGATTTGTTAATGTGTGACCAAAAGATGTTAGTGAAGGGGAAAAAACAATTCATATGATGAACAAGCATGAATCTGTCATGCATCCTCTATCAAAATATTTTCAGAACTTTTATACCAAATAAGAAAGTTGATTATTGAAAATATATTCTTTATCCAGAATTCTATATGCATTTATTTTCATTCACTGAAGAGATGTTTACACAAATTTTTCATATGATGAAAGCTGCATATTTCTTTGTTTTTGTTTGTTTAATCAAGCTGTAAATGGAATATAAAATTACATGAATAGAAACATCCTTGCATGACTGGATATCTACACTTTCTCCTCTTGTCCTGTACAGAACAGTGTACAGAATGGGTATTGCAGGTACAAAGAATGTATAAGGAGAGATATAAACCACTCCCATTCCCAGTTTCCTGAAGAGAAAGAGTTCTATTAAAAGTGGGGTTCTCTTGATACCTGCTCTTTATTTCTACAATGTAGTTGAGATGTTAGCAAAAATTGTTATTGTAATACTAATACATAAACATTATCTGATAAGTTAGCTATCAGTTCAGGAGTTCTAGGGGTGCTAGTGTCCATATGAAGCTCCATCATTGGTTGGATATATTGTTAACATATAGTAGTATGTAATTACAGCAGTGGCCAAAATTGTGGAAACCTTTTGGGAAAAGTGTACATTTGAGGTTTGATGGCTAATAATATCACTTTTGTTTGGAGTAGTACCATAAACCTATACATCAATGGAAAGATAATTTAATCAAGAATATAATGCAACAAAGCTTGTTCAATTATATGTATTCTATGAAAAGTTATAGCCAAATAACCAGAAAAAGGAAGCACAACTTGCTTAGGTTGATATCAGGTAGCTTTCCTTCATCTGATTGTAGCCAATGAGCATGAGTGTTTAGAGAGCCAATCAGGTGTCATCTTTTTTGGCAATGAGCCAATCAGATCACAGTAGGATTCAATTATTGATGTCATGTATTGAAGCTGAGAGGAGGACATTTGTCAGTTTGTTATGTGATCGCTATCAAGTTGGTTGGGTTTTTTTGTGTTCTTTCATTTAGTGAACTTGAAATTAAAGTAATGATGCAAAGAGTTGACTGGTCGCCCAGAAAGCGATATAAAATAGTATTATTAAGTAAACAAGGCTACAGTTATAAAGAAATTAGAAGAAAAATTGGTGGGAACTTAACCAAAGGTGGCATTTCTAAGTTTTTGAAGAGGTATAAAGAGACTCAGTCACTACAAAACCACACTGGTAAAGGCAGGAAAAGGTGCACAACAGCAAGTGATGATAGAGGAATTAAGAGACTGTGCCTACGTAACAGAAGAAAATCATCTGGGTGTATACAAGATGAAATGGTGCAATGCAATGTGAAGTTGAGTGCAAGGATTGTTCAGCGCAGACTGCAAGAATTTGGCCTAAAATTAGAATTCCACGATAAAAGCCACTTTTATCTCTCAAACAAAGGTTGAAAAGACTAATCTGGGCTAAAACCCATGTTACCTGGACAGAGGAACAATGGGACAGTGTTATTTGGAGTGATGAGACCAAGATCTCTCTGTTTGGTAGTGAAGGCATAAAATATGTAAGGAGAAGAATCGGAGAAGATTTGCATCCTGATTGCATTACATGTACCGTGAAACACCCAGTCAGTGTTATGATCTGGGGTTGTATGACATCAAAAGGTGTGGGCAGAATTTGTGTGATTAATGGGAATATAAATGGCCAAAAATACATTAATGAAATACTTGAGCCCAAACTGAAGCCTTCCGCACATGATCTTTTCCAAGACAATGAAGCATTTATATTTCAACAGGATTCAGCTCCATGTCATGTTGCTGCTATTCCACTGCTGGAATGGCCTGGGAATAGCCCAGACCTTAACGCAATTGAAAATCTATGGAGCCAACTAAAGAAACTTGTTAGTCAGAAGCGACCCAGCAATAAAACCCAGTTAATAGAAGCAATCATTCAATCTTGGTTTCACATTATAACAGCTGCAGAACTAAAGGACTTGGTTCACTCCATGGGAAGACATTGTAAGGCCATAATTCATGCTAAAGGTTACCCAACTAAGTATTAACTGACATGGTAATAATTTTTGTATGTCTCGTTTTTTCTATGGTGATAATTTTTGTATATCTTGTTTTTTCTACGTGTTTCAATTTTCTTCTTTATAACTGCTATTCTAATAGCAAATCCTTCATAAAAGTTATTGCATTACATTCTTGATAAAATTATCTTTCCATTGATATATAATTTTATGGCACTACTCCAAAAAAAGTGGTGTTATTAGCCATCAAACCTCAAATGTACACTTTTCCCAAAAGGTTTCCACAATTTTGCCCACTACTGTATATATATTACCTAATATTGTAAGATTTCTTCAGAGTTCGTGATTTATTTCTGTTGATTCTCTAAAGCATAAAATAAGCATTTCATTTCTAATGCAGATGTGATGAATGCAGATTATGCTATCATTTTGGTTGTTTGGATCCTCCCTTGAAAAAATCTCCAAAACAAACTGGCTATGGGTGGATTTGTCAAGAATGTGATTCTTCCTCATCTAAAGTAAGTTAATGAGTCTTACAAAAATGCAGATAAGATTTTCAAAAATATTTCAGAAAAGCTCATATTCAGTTCCTACTATAGCATTGAAAGAGAAACTTCATGCTACTGGTTTTTTTGCAAAGCATAGAATGATATCCACAATTATTCAAGTCACTATGTTGTATTCTCAATCATTTAATTGAAGAATGTTCTATACTTTTGAAGAGTTTAATGGTGAATGTCTGTGATAATTCTTGAATCATACTATATTGCTAACGTGTTTACTATAAGAGACCTATATTCTGTATATTGGTTTAATAGATGCATTTAAAATGAAATTGAAAATATACGGAAATACAGTGCATTATTGCTGACTGTGCTTAATTCTTTTGATACACGTATTTACTTATAAAGATTAGATGATTTAGTCTTTGTATAATTTATATGAATTCTGAAATAGACTATTGTGAGCAAAATAAGGTTATAATTTTCTTATCAAATGGAAGAATAAGTTATGCAGTGAATGTTATTAATTTTTTTTGTTAAAAGTATAATTTTGTTGGTATAGGATTTTTATAACCATCCATTGGTTTTAGAACAGGTGTATTTGCAGAAGGTCAAAAAGATCAAGATGTATCTGTAGCCAGACAATTAAATCTTCAACACTTTTTTATGTTTATAAAAGAGGGGTATAGCTTCAACTGCACAAAAGCCATCTTCACTCTTTTAACTATTTGATAGACACACAGATTCTGAACATTTAAAAATATTTAAATGAAGTCTGGTTTCTGAGTGAACTAAAAATGGCTACAGTATTCTAGACAATATTTCAAACTAAAACTGTTTGGAGAAAGCAGTATGAATAGGAATAATTTATTAATATTGTTTGCTTGCCAGCAATGTTAACTTAAAAACCAGATCTTTGATACATAGCAATCTTACCTCTTGTTTGCCATTTTTTGCACTTAGTCCAGAAAATACCTCTATCAGTTGCAAACAGTTTTATTACCTGCATAAAACCCAGCTGTGGGATGGGATGTCTGTAGCAGTCCATCTCATGGCTGTGTTTTCCCATCTAATTTAATTAGTGCATGATTTCTCCTTTCTACTCCACATTTCTCTGTGAGAGAGAATCTTTTAACACATTGGAATTCTTAGTTGGTGCCTTAATATTAACTTATATATACGTAGCTCATACAAACACAGACATACTGCTGGACCATGCATGAGAGAAATCCATTGGAAATGGAAATGTAAGTAAATCTGTCCCGGTTGATATTCTTTATTTATAACAATGATTGCACAGCCAATTTGTCAACACCACTTTTTCTTTCCACCATTAAATCTTATTTTCTATACACCTCAGAAGTTTCATGTATATGTTCAAACAGTGAAATAGCAGTACTTTCTTTTTAGCTTTTAGTTTTTGCATATAGTGTTCTACCAATGAAATCAGAGTCAGAAAGGATCGTTCCAAATGAAAATTATAAGAGAATATTAGTGAACAATGTGGTGGCCTAGAGGTGAAGATGCTCACCTCCCAGTTGGAAGGTTGAGATTTCAATCGTAGGCAATGGCAGATGTTTCTCTATCACGGCACAAAGAAAAAATATCTGCTGCAAACTCCATGTAGGCATCAGGAAGGGTATCCAGCAAGTCAATGCTGAGCTCCATTCAGTCGCCCCAACTCCACCCTCCACCTACTATTAAAGCCATCAACCTAATGTAAACTATAAAATAAATCAAATAGTATTTATATTACTTGAAGAATAATATGGCTATATAAATATTATATACATTGTATGTAATAATTCAATTAATATATATCAGAAACTTCATGCTATTCTTTCATAAAAACAGAAAGGTGCTTGTATTCTGTAGTGCTAGTACTAATTCTTGTATAATCTGTGTTCACAATGCAAACATTCATTTATTGTTTATATCTTGATAAATTAATGTGCTCGTTCAGATAGGGAACATGTTTTATTGTTTATTTATTTATTAGTTAAACTTATTTGCCACCCATCTCTCTGGGAAGTTTACAACAATAAAATAGAAAAAAATGATAAAAAATGTAAAAAATAACAATAAACAAATAAAACAAAAATAAACAGTGGAAGTAAAATAATATGAAATATGAGCAAAGGGAGAGCAGGAAGTACAGGGGGAGGTGGAATCAGCTACTTAATCCAGCAACCACTTCCAAGGCTTGAGTGACTGAGCACAGGGAATCCTGATCCAGGAAGGGCTGCAGCTGGTGCACTAACTGAAATTGTATTTAAATGTAGTAAATACAATTAAAACAATCAACTTTCTTTTTTCACAATATGTTATACAACTTATACAGAGAAGCTTTATTTTAAGTAAATCACCTTCTTGCTCACTTCTTGAAAGACATGATGTTGAAAGAGAAAATCTATATTACTTAAAAATAATTACTATTAATAGAGAGATCTGTAAAAGTGTCTACCATTTTGAGAAAAAAATAAGCCGCTGGATAGAAGTCCATTGATATAAATTATTTGCTACTTTATAATCTAGTTTTTTAATAACTTTGTGTCATTTCATAAACTTACTTTGAAGCAGTGATCACAATTTTGTGGAATCAGTCTTGGAATCACATTTTGACTATAAGAATAAGTAATGGAATATAATGTTTGGAATATGAGGTAACCCATAAAAAATTATAAATCTTTTATTCTTTTTGCATTAAGAGATTGTAACTCACTTTGCTAAAAAAAATGTTCCCCTTGCAGCAAAGTAAGTTAGTGATATACAACCACTATTAGAGCATAAAGGTGTAATTATTTTAGTTCCAGAGTCCTCTAATTCTTGCACAGGGATAAGAACAAAAGTGCATAAGGAGACCTTTGAGCTATTAAGGACAAAACAGCTATTTCACCCAAATATCCTTATTCTCAATTTTAAGTAGCCCCGAAAATTGATTAATCATTCTATGCTGTGCCAGTTGTACGCATTGCTGAGGATCTCCTGACTTCTTTTGTTGCTTGCCTTGACTTGTATATGGTGAACCATACTATTAAAGTCTGTCTAATTTGAAATCGGATGGCTTGAAAAAAATATGGGAAAGGATTGAGGCTGTATGTATAAAAAAAAGTAGCATCATTCCATTTTGCAAGTCAATGAAGATTTGTTAATATGGGGCACAAGTGATTTTTGCCTTTTCTGTCACTAAAAGTGGCTGTTGAACGAACATCACATTCATTGTGCTGATATATTTAAAGTATTCCGTTTTTATAGAAAAAGTTAAAAAAATGGAAAATGCTTTAGAAATAGCGCATATATGAACATCACTGTTACAAGGCAATAATATGAATTAAAAAGCCAACATAGCTTCTGCTGGAAGATTTTCTTAATAATTTTAAAAAGATATTATTTGAATATCTACTTTTGAAGACTGTTATTCAAACAGGTTATTGTAGAAGGCAATAGAATCTGGGGTTGAAGAAAATGAAATGTAAACTTTAATTGTTTCACATTTTAGTTTCACTAATCTAGAATAATTGCATGGTGATGGGTGTACCATTTGAGGACCTGAAGGGCCAGATTAGGGATAGATTATCTTGGAGAAGATCTGTCTATTTGGTCACTCAGAGTTAATATTAGTGTGATGATGCATAATAAAATTTCAATTTCAGTGTTTCAGTGTTTTTTGAAATAGAAAAAAGTCTCCAAGAAGATAGTCTGCTAGAATAGAATCTTTATTTTAAAGCAGCAATAGGACAAATTTTCACATATAAATCCAGGACTCTCAGTATAATTTCTGTCAAATTTCTGACAGGACCAACTACATAAGTTGATTTTGCTCAGCCTTCTTCTTAAAACAACAGTTTTCAGTAGTTATTTATCTAGTGTTGCATAATGCATAATCTAGAACAGGTGATTTGTTTTTCTAGAGATTTCCAGATTTCACTTATGTAAATATTACCTGAGCAATCAATGTTAGTTACACTGTAATGAATTCATAATCACTTGTGAAAACAATGTGTGATACCTTGCACAAAGGCTTTTGCGAGCAGAAACAAAGTTATATACTACTTGCATAAAGATGAAAATGTGTTTCTTAGATGGTACTTAGGCTAATTAAAATAGGAGAAAGAAGAAAGATTTCTTTAGACTTTATCATGCTTCACATTCCTTACTGAAAGCAATTTGCTTTTTCCACACAGGACAACCAAGTACTACAGTAACATCTAATTATAATTTAGATTTAAGAGAGTATGTTTGAAACTAATATGCAGATACTCCTTGGTTTCTTTTCTTTTTTTTCCAAATTGTTTTCCAAAGCAGCATACTCTGTCTTTAGTGAATAAGAGTACTTGCTACAGAATATAAAGGCAATGCATTCATTTTGTTCCTAATATTTGTCAAGGAGTTTTCAGTTTTAAGAACTTGGATTTGCCTGCCATCTGTGAAGTGTGGGCTTGCCTCTCTCCCTTGAAACTAATGCTTAACTGGATCTTGCCCTGTACTTTTCATTTCTACTAACTGCAAAATACCTTATGTGTTAAATATAGGGTGAAGTGGATGGAATGAAAAACAAGTATCAGGTAATTGTTAAACATGTAAAATTAGATATTTATTTTCTAATTTAAATAACAGTGATTGTTGGCATATATACATTGATAATACTGCTAATAATTTTGCATTACAATTGCATTTATATTTTATGCAATACAGACCCACAAAATAATTGTATGTGCATTGCCGTGTAAAGCCAAAACCATAGATTGTATTAAGCACAGCAATAATTTCTGCCAAAAAAGAAGCATGTTGCAAAGAACTTAAAAAAGGAGCTAACTCAAGGCAAAAGTGAACACAGGTTTGTGCTGACTATATTTAAGTAAATCCTTAGATTTGTGGACAAAAGCCCTTCTGGCTTTAAGATAGAGTAAGTCCTCAAAAAGGTACTTTAACTTTTCAAGAAATCATTTGAGATTCATGGGTAAACTAATGTATATATGTACCAACAATGGCTGAATTTCTCTCTTTTGACAAACCACTTAGATCTCATTAACTTGTCAGGTTCCATCATTGAACCAGATTTAAATCCCCAAGTATGCTTGGAAGAATGGCCCTAACTTTTTCAAATGGACATAATTCCCTTCACGCAGAAGGTGCATGCTTTCATGTCTGAACTGCTCATGTTACTTTTGGGCTAATTCACGATGCTGCTTTCATCAAGGATCATGTGAATGTTTTGGCAGCATTGTTTTACCATTCATCATGCTTTGTCAACTTTGTGCTCCTCCATACCATATATTGAAAGAACATTGCTGTACAAGTTCTTGCATTTGGAGGGGAAGATTTCTTTTTAAACATATAGACCATATAACTAAAGAATTTGAAAAGACATTAGAGAGCATCTACCGCTTACTGAATACATGATTTGCAATATAACTCAGACATTCATTATAGATGATATTTAGTCTTTCTTAGCAGAAGTAAGGAAAGCCTATCCCTTCCAAGTAAATCTGTCCTATAGTTGCACAGTTCTTCTAGCATTTTCAGAAATTAATCCTGTTTTCTTACAAGTTGATTTCTATACTTCCCTTTGGAGCAATAGAGAACAAGTCTAGTCCATTTTCTTCATAATTGCTCTTAAAATATTTAAGAATATTTCTGCTTTCCAGATTAAGCACTAATAGCAGCTTGAAGTACTAATATGGAACTTATTTTGTAAGCTATCCAGAATCACTGAGAGTAAGTTGGCAGCCATACAAATATTCTTAAATAAATAAAAAATTAAACCCATGCCTTTGAAAAAAACATCAAAATAGCCATTAGCAGCTTGATTCTTTTATATGCTTTTGACTATAATTCCTAGTTATTCAATTTGGTTATGAGGAATGATTAAGAGTGCAGGATTGGAAATGGAGCAACTTGAAAAAAAAGGGTATTTAAATATTTAATATTAAGTGTCCAATCAAACTTAGTGAATTGCTGCCTGATTTTATCAAACTTCTAAGTTTATATTGATGATGCTTGGAACATAATATACAGACGCATTAATAGTCACTTAAGTATTGTCCTCAAAAAAGTGATGTTGACATACATTCTAGTAGAAACCGGCACCCCTATTATAACATTTATTTTTATTTATTTATATCCTGTCTTTATTGTTTGTATACATAACTCAAGGAGGCAAACATACTAATACTCTTTCCTCCTCTTATTTTCCCACAATAATCTTGTGTGGTAGGTTGACTGAAAGTTATTCGCCCAAGGTCACCCGACTGGCTTTTATGCCTAAGATGAGACTAAAACTCAAAAACTCCTGGTTTCTAGCCTGGAGCCTTGGATCTAATATCAATAGCACTAGACACTATCTTGAAAAGTGGACCACAGTGATTCTCACAGTGTTATAGTTTCAAATTGGATGTGCATCTTTTTACTGGAGAATTGTCAAGCTGTCGTGTTAGAATATGAAAGATTTTATATGATAAACTATATTTAGCAAAAAACTATAGCTGAATTTGCCAACCTTTCCTAGTCAGAAAAATCATTTTGATAATAAATTTTGCAGGATATCCATGATGTTTTTGGCTTCCCCAAAAGATGCTAAATTGCTTAAACTCTGCACGCTATAGACCATCTACTTGAGTGTATCAAATGACTATTGCTTTGGAAATATTACTTTTATTATTTCTTCTTGCTAATGTAGATTTGTTACTGCACTTTGCTCTGATCACATTTAATCAGCTACTGCATTTAGAAAATGAAATATACCAGACTGGGCAAAATCTGCATCAGACAAGTTTCTCCTAGAGTGAAGTCCTAAGAATTGTAACATGAATAGCTTGAGTGGGCAACTGCTGAGAAGCACATTCATTACAAAACTTGTATCACTGTGTTGGAAACACATTCCATACTATGCAAGAATATTTGCTGTGTGGATGACAAGTCATATTTGCCAGTAAGAATAATATTGAAAATAAATGAACAGACATTCCAATTTTTTTTAATTGAGAGCCATATAATTTAATTAACAACCAATGGTAGATAGTGAATACCAAATAAAACAAATTTTAGAATAATTCTTCATAATTCATAACTGTTGGGTGCTGCCTTTGTTTTGCATAAAAAAGGTTCAGAAATGTTATGTAGGTTTGAAACAAAGAATTGCCATATTTGCTTTAAAATATAATTCCTACATTCTTTTCTTGTTCCTCCCCAAGCAACAGCAATTTTACCATTTGTCTGAAAAGTAGATTTTAGGAATTGTACAACCTAATATTACAAAATAACTTATATCTCCTGGCCCGTGAAAAGCAGCTCTTATTTTTAAAAGGAAGATCAGAAGCATTTCGGTGTGTATAACAATTAATTAATTTTCCATATGTGTCTCTTTAAGCCACTGGCATAATGGAAAGCTACTTCCTGTGCTGAAGATATAGCTTTCAAATACAAGGCAATGGAATTAAAATAAAATGTGCCTCAAGCAGATTGGTGTCAGGTGTTATGGCTTTGATGCTAAAGTCTTCAAATCCAAGCACTGAGCATCTTAGAACTATGTTAGGTATCATATTAATTTTCAAATATTATGTCCTACTTTTTCCCAAGAAATTTCAGGAATGTTATATAATCCTCCTCACCAGTATTATAACCATCATTCTGTGAACTAAGTAGCCGAAGAGAGATAGTGTTAAGACCAACATCGCTCAGAGGGTTATATGGCTGAGTGGAGATTTGGATTTGAATTCCCTACCTAGTTTAATTTAACAATTGCATTAGAAGAGTGGGACAATTATGTCAAATAAATGGCATCTTCTTAAATGCTGCTGAATCCACACTGTGGCCTGCTATCAGTTTACCCTACTGCAAACACCTTTGAATTTGATTAGAGAGCTCACTAGTCCTCATGACTATTTCGGTCCTAGGGTTGTTAATATGTTCATATCATGTATATATTCAAAATATATTTTAAAAATGCACTTTATGTACATTTCTGATTAACATGACCTTATTTTCTCATTTAGCAATAAAAGATAGACCATAGTTCAAACCATCTTCCCATATGAGTTGCTTTTTCCAAAGTTTTTGTCTTGTACACAAATTATCAATTGGCGCACTCTAGCTCTCTATTTTCTAATGTACCAGTTATTTCTATATTTCTATTCCACATATTCATTGTTAGTATTTCAATAGGGCATAAACATTCTTATCCTGGATTAGTTCATAAGAGTTATCTGTATATAATCCTCTATGACCAATAATCTTCTATAGTTAGGGAAGCCAAACCAATGTTCTCTTAGTCACAGCACCTTTATATGTTATGTTTGATAGCTAAAAAGTACATTTGAATTCACCTTTTTAGGCTAACTGATTTGTTTAAGATTCCTTATGCTGGAAATAGATTTATAAGCAAGTTTACCTACAAATTGTAGCGCAATTTCTTTCTGTTAACATTCTGTCATTGCAAAGTTTGGTTATTATTTACTTTATTACAAGAACTCAAATTAATTTTAAGAATAACATTATTGAAAAAAATAGATATGGCTCTTTCTCTTCAGAAACTTTCTCATGCACTACTAATTGCTACAAAATATAATGCTTACGAAAATATATATGCCATTAATGATTATTTAAAATGTAGGGGTTTTGGTAGTCGGATATGAAAGAAAATGGACAGTTTGATAATTTCCAAAAAAGTAGCCCTTGAAAGTATGCAACAAACAATAATCACTTATGGCCTAAAATATAGTATGTATTAATATAATTTTTAAAATACCTTTTTAATCTGTCTGTATGCTGCTGCATGCCTAACAATTAATTCCTGTGCCTATATCATTTCCTTATTAATATTTTGTTTTTATTGTATTTTCCTGCTGTTTTAGTTATTTGTATAGCAGGCTATGCAGGAAGAAAAAATTATGGCATAAATTATAGCGTAGTTTATTTTCAAAGCTACAGAATGGAAAAGTAATATTCCATATATATTTCCTAATCATGCAGTTAATGTATTATAGTTAATGCAGATCTACTATAAATTTTTCAAAAACTGGAGATGCTTCAAAATCAACAACAAAAAAAATCCTCTACTGGTACATTAGGTATGGTACTAATTATTTATTTGTATCCTGTTCTGCTACATGTGCCAAGAGCTCATGCAGCATAATTACAAAATTGTGCCATATAATTGTAAAAGAAAATTGGCTACTAATTTTGAAAAACTGAAATATATATTTAAATTATCATTTTACACAAGATAAAAGTAGAATGATAATGGCAGAAAAATACTTTGTGATTGGATAGGGATTTAATGAAAACATAATTCATATGTATTAAATATATATAAAATCCAACCAGATTACCTGTATCCTTTGCTCAGTGAAAAAACTTGACTGTCTAATAGTCCATTTATACTCATGTCTCCATGAATTTAACTGGTAAACGTAGAAATTGGGTCTTATCATATTCTGAAATGTAACTCTGCCATATTCACTTGCTTACTTCACTCAGTACTGTAGTTATTTTTTTCTAACAGTGCAATAGCTTTTGCAGTCTCTGCCTAAGAAAATTTGTAGAGTTCATTTTCTGAATGTGAATG